TTGTTTTTTTAAATTTTTATATACATTAAATCCATTCCATTTCAATTGTGCGTCAATTAGGTACACATTTCAATTGCTTAACCATTATTAATAATATTCTTATCAAACTTAATACAACAATAATCACATTCCCATGTATTTAGTATAAAATAAATGAGATCCAATATATCTATTATACTGTATATCTGTTACAATATATATATTACATTGGACTGCCATTTGTCAGAAATTGGTTGGTCGAGATGACCTATAATGTCCCTTCCAACTCTGATTATCTGTTATCTGTTAGTTTCTCTTATTGCTCTATAAATACATCTAATCCCTTTTAATTTGTTCTGTTTTCTATCCATTGATAAAACAAATCCCATACCATATAGATAATAGATAATAATTAATCAGAGTTGGAAGGGAACTTGTAGGTCATCTAGTCCAACCCCCCGCCCAAGCGGGAGACCCTACACCATTTCTGACAAATGGGAGTCCAATCTCTTCTTGAAAGTCTCAACTGATGGCGCTCCCACAACTCCCGAGGGCAACTTCTGTTCCATTGGTTGATTGTTCTCACTGTCAGAATGTTTCTCCTTATTTCCAGGTTATTCAGATTCTTCTTTTTCTTTGATTTCCAGGGTATTTAAATTCTTCTTTTTCTTTAATTTCTAGTGTCAATCTATTCATTTCTGCACATTCAAATATTTTTTCAATTATTTTTCCCCTCTATCGGTATCTTATCATTCTTCCAATTTGGGGCAAATACAATTCTAGCCGCTGTTAAAAACACGTATAATTAAGTAAGTCTTTTCTTTACTATAACCTTCTGGTGCCATTCCTAGTAGGAATATTTCAGACTTCAAATCTATGTGTTGTTTAATCTTTGTTTTCCAACCATGTGTCTATCTTAGCCAGGGGTGGGATTCTATAGGTTTGCACCTATTCGCTAGAACCGGTTGTTAACATTGTAAGCAGTTCGCAGAACCGGTTTTTAGAAGAAATTACTGGACTAATCCTGTAAGGAAGGCAGGAAGGAAACATTCTGGTGTTGCTTACAGAAACTGCCTCTCCGTTAACCCTTATTACATTCTTGGCAGGACTAGACTTCCTGTCTCTGGAACTTCTCTGGAGTTTCCCCCCCCCCCCTCCTTTGCTGGTATTTTGCTTGTGTGGAGCGACCATTCAAAGTTACAATGGCACTGACAAAAGTGACTTATGACCATTTTTCACACTTACGACTATTGCAGCATCCCCACAGTCATGAGAGGCCAGGCGAGGAGATGCGTGCCACAATGTGAGTGATATTGAGTTGGCCACGCCCAGCCAATAACATGACCACCAAGCCACGCCCACCAACTTAGCCATGCCCACAGAACCGGTTGTTAAAAAATTTGAATCCCACCCCTGTAGAGTTGTAATTGCAGGAATGTTCTTATCTTGGATGGCAAACCTCAGGTAATGAATGTTTACAAAGCAAATACCACTCAAGCAAACAAAGTCACTAATGTAAAAGAGGATAAGAGAGAGGAAATAAACATATGTTAGACTTTAACTAGAGATAATTAATTGTGTTAATTACTATGCTAAACAGTAACGAAACTTAAGCAGAAACCAAAGTTAACCAATGTTAGAGGATTACTAAAAATGTGTATAAATGCAAGACTAGAGTCCAATAAAGTTCATCATGATTCATTTGATCATGATGAAACACCTCGACTGCCCCGTCATTACAACACACCCCTGATCTTAGCCCAATACCTTTTAGCTTCTGTACAAGGCCACCACATATGGTAATATGTTCCGGAGTGGGAGTTTTTAATAGTCCTGGCATCTTCTCCCAAACAGAGGGCCTCCAGATGAGGCAAACAATTCCCAGTCGTCCTTGAACTTACGACCGCAATGGAGCTCAACCTAATGGCCGAACCTAATGCCATGCATGCCACAGGTGGTATGCAGAGCCCTCTCTGCGGACATGCGAGCTGTCACCCAGCTAAGTTCCACCGCGCATACGTGCACACCTCCTGGCAGCTAGCTGGTTTTTCTGTCTTTCCCATACATGCACAAGGGTGGGGGGGCGTGGCGCATGTGGCAGAGGCGTGCGCATGCACATTGGTGGGGAGAGCATGGGGGGCGCATGCGCGTGCTTGGGGAGCAGAGGGGAGCACAGGGGGGAGTACAGCACAGCCCCCCCTGCCTATTTTGGGTTTAGTAGGCCTCCCTACTGTCAGGAAGTCGCAAAAAAGGGGATCCTGTGACACCACCACACCCCGAGACAACCGTCATAAGTACATGCCAGTTGCCAAGCTTCTGAATTTTGATCACGTGATTCATAGAGAATTTTGATCACGTGATTCATGGCTGCAAAGGTCGTAACTGTGAAAAACGGTCATAAATCACATTTTCAGCACCGTTAAACAGTCAGACTGAACAAACTGTTGTAATCAAGGACTACTTGCAAAACTCCTTTAGCCACGCTTTCTCACTGAGCAACAGAAACATTGGGGTCGATTGTGGTCGTACGTCAAGGACTCCCTGCGTAAACATCAGCCTATCAAGCTGGACCGCCATCTGTCAGAAATGGTGTGCTTGGGTGAGGGTGGCGGGGTTGGACTACATGACCTCCAAGGTCCCTCCCGACTCTGTCCATCTGTATCAGGCTAAATTAAATTATTAGAAATGTTTTTTATTTTTAAATTGTAAAAAAAAAAAAGATCTTAGAATTATTAGAAATTGAAATATTGAAAGGCTCTTTGAAGACTTAAACATTTGAAATTATAAGATGATCATAACCCCTCCCAAGACTATTTATCTACTGTACATGCTATCTACAAATTTCATCATATCTCTGGGAAGCCATGAAACAGCAGAACGTTATCTGATGCCGCGGGAGGGTGCTTGACCCGTAGGTATAAAGGTTGCTTCATGGGAGCCAAAACCCAGGAGTTCCAAATCGCTCTGAGTAGCAACAGGTTTGGCAGAAACATGGAAATGCAGAAATATTTATCTAGACGAGCCCTGGGCGGTCTCCGAGTTTGGTTGTTTCTTTGCCAGAAATTTCAGGACCCAAGTCGGGGGCGTGAATAAGTGCACCAACGTGCCTACCGTCCCTGTCCTATTGTTGTTGGGTTGTTTTTTTCTTATTCATATCCATTTCATGTATTCATAACCATGTTTATACTTATACCTGTTATCTAATAACTGCTTGACAAAATAAAATAAATAAATAAACTAGGTAACATCATCAGTGCAAGAAGGGAGCGGGGTTCATAGAGGAGGAGGAAAAGAACTGTGGGGTCCTTGGTGCTGTCTGAGCTTGGTTGTTTTCTTGCAGACGTTTCATGACCCAACTAGGTAACATCATCAGTGCTAGGAGGGAGGGAGGTTTGCAGAGAGGAGGAGGAAGGAAGGAAGGAAGGAAGGAAGGACTATGGGGTCCTTGGTGCTCTCTGAGGTTGGTGGTTTTCTTGCAGATGTTTCATGACCCAACTAGGTAACAGCATCAGTGCCAAGGATGTCATTTCAGTCCTGAGCTACAAATATTCTCCTTTATTCTCGTTCATAGGATTTGAGACCTGCAACCTTAACGTTGCCTGTATTCAGAGATTCAGGATTGGGGTATCTATAAATGCGTGTTTATGTTTATTTGAATATATGAGCCGGAAATTCCTATACCGCTAGCCCTCGAGTCACAACTGTTTATAGAATAGGAATAGGAATAGAGTAGAATAAAATAGAAAAAAGAAATAGAATAAGAAATAGCAAATAGAATAGAATAAAATAAGAAAAAGAAATACGTAGAATAAGAAAAAGAATAGAATCGAATAAAATAAGAAATAGAATAAGAAATAGAAAAAGAATAGAATAGAATAGCAAGTAGAATAAATAAGAAAAAGAAATACGTAGAATAAGAAAAAGAATAGAGTAGAGTAGAGTAGAGTAGAGTAGAGTAGAGTAGAGTAGAATGGAGTAGAATAGAATATTGGAATAAAAAATAGAGTAGAGTAGAGTAGAGTAGA